AAGAGGTAAATTGTCATTCCTTACAAAGAATCTGACATTGTAGTTCTCGAACAAGAAAGAAAAAAATTATCCAACAAGAGCGATGGGTTTAATTCTAAAGAAACTACTTTTTTTTCGATGAATAATTAACAACTTATTAACAGAAATAAGGATTCAAGATCTGTTATAAACAATAATCCCCAAGGATCATGATTCCGACATACAGAAATAGCATTGCCAACACATGCAGTTTCAGTAAACATGTATGGAATGACAATCACAAAGACATAATTATATCCATGGTTAAGTTCAACTAGTGGCAGTAGTCCTAAAAATTGAGTTCATTTGACAGAACAAGACTCCTAGAAACGGGTACAGGCTTCTTTAAGTCCAGATGCTCAAATGATTGTTTAGCCCCTCGATGTATATACAACCAATTCTTCCACGTTAAAAGTTTACTGTTGGCCCTGATTTCTGCGGCGCACATATCGGGTTCTGTCATTGTACCTTGGTCTGTCCTGGGCTCTTTGTGGCTGTGGCTCCACCCTCCTCTGCCTTTCTGGTGATCTTTGCACAATTTCCCCATTAACAAACAATTCAGCTGAAATTTAAAATGTGGACAAGTATTAGATATATCAGTCATCATGAAAAAAAACAAGTTATTCATGCACATATACATATTTTTATCGGCTAGTTATGTATAATGGGAAGAAACACAAACATCATTAGGCAAATAAACAAACATATTACATAAACTCTCAACACAAACATTATTAGGCAAGAAACATCATCAATAATTAAAGGAATTATGGGAATGAACACATAATGTATCAAAATTCCAATGATTCTGATGCTCCACTTTTGAAGAAGAACAGAACAAATCATAACACAACATTGTTTTCAGTCCATTAGAATTCAAACTAACAACTGCCAGGACAAGGCTAGTAGCTTTGCCAAGATGGATTGAGGATGTGATACATGATCTGCAGTTGCATGGAGCACAAGAGTTGCAGATCCAGAAAAGGAACATTTCATCTATGTCCATTTGCATTCAAAACTAAAATTGCATACAACACTCTTTAGCTTTGCCAAGATGGACTTAGTTTTGCTGATAAAAAAAAAAAAAAAAAAAAAAAAAAAAAAAAAA